ACAATTAAAGCACAACACCATTTATAAAACTCGTCTGCTTCTAAAAGCTTTGCCGGAAGGACACGTAAAATGAGAACAACGTTTTTCCAAAGTAAAGTGATGAATACAATTTTAGGACATATTCTTCGCCGATCTTTAGTCGCATTGCGGATCTAAGAAGTGATATACAAGACTTCTAAAAAACACTTCCAAGGGCTCAAATTCATTTATATGCAAGAGCTGTGAATTATTCTTGATTTTTGGCTCGGATAGAGAAATTTAGAGGACAGTTGCTGGTGCCAAGAGACAGTACAGCGGCTACACTTTCGTAGTCCAAGAAAGAAGCAAATGTGCCTGCAACTTCTACGCAGTGAGCCTTTCTTAGTAAGTAAAGTTATCAGTTCAGTAAAACCGGCTTGATTCTGTCGACATACCATGATATTTTGTCCATCTACCTTATCCAAGATGATGAATGCTATTGGCGTAGAACGAAGGGAAAGACACAAACGGCATGGGCATGTTTCACTGAATATATAAGTATCCCCACAAAAATGAGAGGATGCATGGATGAGCTCCATTTTATTGAAAATTTTTACTAATCGTGAAGTTAAAAACGTGCATGGTCATGAGTCCCTACCGCGATAAACGTGAATTGGAAGCAAAGAAAAGAAGGCCATATAATGCACGTTGAGGCGTTATGCCTAGTCTGTTAAAATTTCACATGTTGTCACTTGTACGTTCATGGTGCAACCAATGAGCTGTGCTCGACTCCCAGCAAAGAACGACGGCGTGTCTCAAACAGTATCGGCTGAAAGATGTTTACATGCCATCAATGGATAAAACACGTTTGTAGCGTACCAGTAACGGCTGAAACACGTTTGTAACCTGCCAATACCAAATCACAAATTAAACACGTTTGCAGCTTGTCAGTTGTGGCTGAACGCGTTTGCGACGTAGCAGTACCAGATGAAGCTCGATTGCAATGTGATGAAATCGGCTGAAACATGTTTGCAACATGTCAGTACTCAGTAACAGCTGGAACACGTTTTCGACGTGTCAGGAACGGCTGAAACATGTTTGAAGCGTATCTGTAACGGCTGGACCAGGTTTGTAACGTACCAGTAACGGCTGGAACAAGTTAACTTTTACAATGTGTTTAATAAAACCTTACTGGTTTCTGTCACGTGTCGCACTAATTGTAATTTAATTTAATTTCATTAAATTTGTGTTGTATTTAAAAAATTGAATACATCTCATCATCAAGTAATACAGATTGAATAAACCATCTCCATTGTAGATTTTTATGCCCTACAGACCTACACCAACGAGACTGAAGGCATGCAAGATCTCGAATAAGAGCAACAAATATAGCAGCGGCAATAGAACGATATCAGGAACATCTAAAATGCTCAATAAATTAGCAACATAATTATCAGTAAAATAACGAAACATTTAGCCAATCGATACGCCATCTTTTGATACGCCAATTGATAAGCCAACAATTGATAGCCTAGAGATTAACTAAACGATGTGGATTGCATTCAATATCAAAAATGTATCTCTTATTACTTTTTACTGCAGGCGTGTTAATGCCGTAGATTTCAGGAACATGAAGAGTATCCTCAATACTTTGATTAACAAACGGCACAGTTCAAGAAATAAATTTTTATGTAAATCAAGTTAAAAGGCAGCTACCTGGAATGGTTGTTAGGGGAAGTTTTTATTTTGTAAGGATCAATCATGAATTTTCGCGAGCTCAAGGGACTGCCCATGTAGACAATAGCGTTGCGGACAGGAAGGACTTTCGAGGGATGAAGAGGTTCCAGTTTCTTCCGAAAGTAAATACACTAGAGATGTTAGAGGAGAGTGGACGTGATGTGAAGACGCTACAGGAGATGTTGACCGCTTGTTTCCTGCCTGGAATTACTTACGGAATTAGATAGCCGTCTGGCAAGGGTGCTGTGCAGATTGCCGTCTGGGTTTTCGGTGGTTTTTGGCTTTGAGAGACCTAAGCTAATCTAAGTGGAGAAAGGCCGCAAGTCAATATTTATAAAAGAGAAAAGCATTTGAAACTTCCGTACGATGATTGGAAAGAAAGCAAATAAGCTCGTCTAGAAGGCCCACGGTTCATTAGAACAAAGACCGAAAAAATAGAATGGGAGAACGAAATGCGCAGCTGAAGATGTTCGCAATCACTGCTAAGAGTTCGCGTCTCACTTCAAGTCACTGACATGTGGAACTAGCTCCCTGCTGCCATCGTTGACACTCGTGTCAACGATGGCATGCTTTAATATATACACATCTCAGTTGTAGCGACGCTGAGACGCCCTTGCCGCGCCTCTTCGCCAGAATCCCGAATCTCCCTGCAATTATCATTTCCGTGCAACCTTCCGTGCAAATATCAGTGCAATTATAATTTCCGTGGCAACCTTCAAATACGTTTGGCACGTCTCATTGTAACAAGGAAAGCATTTCCTTGGCAATTTGCTTTTTCCCCTCTGCGCGGTTAAAACAGTCTACTACAAGGATAAATAAGAAGTACTTAGCAAGAAAATAAAGTAAGATAATAAGATAATTAGAAGGATAATAAATAAGAGCTGCACGAATCACCATCTCAAGATGCCATGAAACTCTGGATAACAACATAAACACAAATCTGAGAAGTATGTGAGGTGTGCAAATATTTCTATAATTCGGAACACTAGCGATCAAATTTCAAATATTTAACCAGTTGTGGTAACATCTATAAGGTAAAAGCAATGGCCCGTTTCGAACCAGAAAACGCAATAAAGCTTGCGTTGAACTGCTTCTCCGGTAATAAAGATATAGGACGTGATCACATTGAGCTCGACCAACACAACTAACAAATCTACAAACTGTCATGCAATGTCTGGTCTGCGGTGCAGCGAACTTTATACAGCGAACCACGTGCGTTTCCGGTCACTTGTTCCGCTCATACACACTAAATATTTTGTGGCCGACAAAATATGAAGGTCTTGACTGCGCGTATAACAAGCTCGTCCTCCAAGTGAGGTGGTGGTGTGCTTAAGGCTACTGCTAGGCTGGGAAGACTGGTAAACAGAATAAAATGCTATGGAATCAACAATGCGACAATATCAAGCGCTGGAGAAGATTTGTTTCATTATATGTTAAAATGATTGGAACAAGTATCATCTCACATTGGAAACTCGCCCTTTGAAAATGGTTTTCCTCCAGATCTTTTTACTGAGGCTACCTTAATAATTCGTGTTGATTTGAGCCCTTAAACATCAATAGATTGAAGTAATTTTTATAAATGAAAGCACACAGTAAAAATTTTGGTTACATCTAGGGATATTATGGACAAAAAAATCCAGATAATAAACATGTGCCTTCGGGTAACAAGAAAAACGGTTAATGTACGTTGATGAGATAATGCGCTCTAGAGCACGACTGACAGATATTGGGCCGAGCGTTCACTTGTTTTCCTTCATATGTCAAAAATTACGAGTTTTCGGATACTTTTTTTTCAACAATTTGAACTTTGAATTTGGTCATACTTTCAAATATTAGTTTAAGACGCAAGTTACGAGGTGGGGCTGGAAAGACATGCAGGGTTTGCACGTCGTAAGGCAGCAATGCGAGTATTTGTGAGACATGAAGGCAGTCGCGCCGTGTTAAAGGGGAGGCTTAAGTGCACAGTTAATTGAATCACTCGAATAGATGTAGATATTGTTCTCAAATGTCGATATTGTTCTCGAATAGATGTAGATATACATGACGCAACATTTGGGGAGTGCGGCACACCCCACATGCCGCAACATTTAGGGAGTGCGGCACACCCCACATGACGCAACATTTGGGGAGTTCGACACACCCCACATGACGCAACATTTGGGGAGTGCGGCACACCCCATATGACGCAACATTTGGGGAGTGCAACACAATCCACATGACGCAACATTTGGGGAGTGCAGCACACCCCACATGACGCAACATTTGAGGAGTGCGGCACACCCCACATGACGCAATTTTGGGGAGTGCAACACAATCCACATTACGCAACATTTGGGGAGTGCGGCACACCCCACATGACGCAACATTTAGGGAGTGCGGCACACCCCACATGACGCAACATTTAGGGAGTGCGACACAATCCACATGACGCAACATTTGGGGAGTGCGACACACCCCACATGCGGCAACATTTGGGGAGTGCGACACACCCCACATGACGCAACATTTGGGGAGTGCGACACACCCCACATGGCGCAACATTTGGGGAGTGCGACACACCCTACATGCCGCAGCATTTGGGGAGTGCGGCACACCCCACATGACGCAACATTTGGGGAGTGCGACACACCCTACATGCCGCAGCATTTGGGGAGTGCGGCACACCCCACATGCCGCAACATTTGGGGATTGGTATTGCGCCCGTCAAGACGCGACGTACGAGAGCTCCCGAGAATAAAATGTTCATGAAAAATTAAATTGCTATTGAAGGGAGGATTAAAATAATAGGGAGAACTGTGAAGGAATATTAAAGTGCTATTTAATGTTAGATTTAACTGAAGAAGTCTGCTCCTTATGCTGTAATGATGGACGATTTCATACCTACTTGCAATCTAAAAGAATTTTGAACACGCGATCGATCTCATTGTATGAAAGACGAACATAGCAGCTTTTTTCGGGCAGTTAAAATTGAGTTCGTAAACGAAATTATTGGAAATTATTGTTGAACGTCGATTACGAAATTAATTTTAATTTGTGAAGCCTGGATGAACGGAGTTTCCATAACTAGCAGTATTGGAGCCATTAGCACATGTACACTTCAAAATTTTAACTAAACAAAAAAAAAAGAGTTAACACTTGACAAAATTAACTAGTAGTTCACACTCAAAACGATCTAATTTTCTCAATATTTAATGGATTATAGAAGCAGGTAATTTGAAATTTTGATTAGAATTCTAATCCGAATTACCCGTCGTCAAAGCATAAACACTAAAGTTAATTATGAAGAAGCAGGCAATCAAACTCACCTGAATGACTCGGCCGGACTCCAAGCCGGCAGGCGGTTCTCCGCCACCACCACCAAGACCTGCAGACAAACCAGGCCATTAGTTCAGCTTAATTAGATATTAATCTATGAAGCTCCCACATCATTAATCTTATCTCCGCTATATCCGAGTCATGCTGTCTAGATTTTCTGAATATGAAGGTATCGTTTAGCTTTACTCGCTTTGCAAACACCAATCTCGATGCTTTTGAAATTGAGGTAAGTTAAACCCTGTTCGTCGCATTCCATACACAGCGAATAAAGGAGATTGATGAGATAATAAACGAGGAATCAATTATTTAGGTTATAAACAATGAGGCCTATAGACAATATCAGGTTGCACACGTAATTTTAGTATTACTCGAGGCATTGTTAAGACATTTGGAAAAGTTGATTTAAAAATGTCAATAGCTCTGATCGAATAGGCGGCGATCAAACGGTACGACAAACCCGAGAACCAGAAAGAAATCTCTGTACTACTAAACAAAATAAGGCAATCAGTTTTATGACTAACCGTTTTAGAAGATGATAGGAACTATGCCGAACATCATCGTGATAAAACTCAGACGTTTTACTTAAGAACAATAGGTTAACAGAAGTTCATTGTAAGAATTAAACGGTCTGCAGCGTGAAGAGCAAGGCGGTCTTCACCGTTGACCGATCATGCGGCGGCTGAACTCAAGCAAAACGCGCCTGCTGCAGACGCGCATACTTGACGTATGGTGCGCCTGAGGGAGGTGCGCCTGAGGGAGGTGCGCCTGAGGGGGGTGCGCCTGAGGCAGGTGCGCCTGAGGCAGGTGCGCCTGAGGGAGGTGCGCCTGAGGGAGGTGCGCCTGAGGGAGGTGCGCCTGAGGGAGGTGCGTCTGAGGGAGGTGCGCCTGAGGGAGGTGCGCCTGAGGGAGGTGTGCCTGAGGGAGGTGCGCCTGAGGGAGGTGTGTCTGAGGGAGGTGCGCCTGAGGGAGGTGTCCCTAGGGGATATGCGCCTGACGGAGGTGCGCCTGACGGAAGTGCGCCTGACGTATGGTGCGCCTGACGGAGGTGCGTCTGAGGGAGGTGCGCCTGAGGGAGGTGTCCCTAGGGGAGGTGCGCCTGACGGAGGTGCGTCTGAGGAAGGTGTCCCTAGGGGAGGTGCGCCTGACGGAAGTGCGTCTGACGTATGGTGCGCCTGACTGACGGAGGTGCGCCTGACGGAGATGCGCTTGCCGGAGGTGCTCCTGACGGAGGTGCGCCTGATGGAGGTGCGCCTGACGGAGGTGCGCCTAGGGGAAGTGCGCCTGAGGGAGGTGCGCCAAGAAGAAGTGCGCCTGATCGCCTGACGGAGGTGCGCCTGACGGAGGTGCGCCAATAAAGGAAGTTCAAATTGTAGTATTGCTGTGCCACGCAGGCGAGTGAGGTATTGTATTAGTATTATAAAGCATAACTTAACGAAGATGTGTTGACGAATGAATGTAGGTTAACAGGGCAATACAAGTAATTAGCAGGCTGCCTCTGCAGCCAGGCAAGTAGGCTAACGATCATAGCTTGATTACGCACAAGTCCTGAACGCCGCAAACTGCGTAACATAAAAATTTTTTCGAGTAATTTATGGCGACATATTCTGCGAGTATGGATTTTCTTCTCAATTTAAAATTATAAATTTATTTTAATTAATTTTCTACTAAGTCAATTTATAATTATTTATGGAACAAAGAACGCCTCATCATTCCGGTTATCTCGAGGCGAAATCTGGAATTCATGAATATTACGAAAGACTGATAATGCATTTTCATTATGTAGTTCAAGAGTGTTTTGTAATTCAGGCATTTCAGAGCGAATATTGATTATACAAAACATTATTTTGTGATGATTCATGTGTTCTCCGATGTCAGGCAAAATATCCATCGTTACTGCGTTCGAAATCAGAATACCTCGATAAAGCGAACGTTCATAATGATATAACCTTAATCAGTAATTAATGCAACATCAAATAAAAAGAAAAAAAAATTCATTCAAACAATTAGATATTAGAAAAATTCGCAACATTTACATAAAAAGCAAATGCAAATCGCCGAAAAGTTAGTCAACAAACTAAACTAAATATCATGATTTCAATTTAATAAAAGAAAGGAAGTGCATAGGTACTATATACATTTGGGAGCAACCGGCTCGAGAGGCCGGCAGACCTAAGTCTGTAGCGTGAGCCTGCCTCAGGAGTCTGAGATATCAACAATTGCCGTGCCTAACGCGCTCAACAAATTCTGTGGAAATATAATATGCAATGAATTTACCCGGTTAATTTTTCTTCGTTTTTTAGCAAATATATCGTATGAATCACGCAGTGTGCCAAATGCAGTTATTTCATTTGAGTCTCGTTGTGCACACAAGCTCAGACCTTCACTGCATAGATCAAACGCTTCTCAATGGAAGTGAAAGGAAGCAGACGAACAAACAAACAAAACACAATTGCAAGTGCAACGAACCAGCGCTCCCACTAATTGCTCAACTGAACAAAATCCTTCAATAACACAAGCTGGTGAGGAGCATGAATGCGCCACTCCTGCATTCTGAGAAAATAGAAAGTGGCAAACCTACCGAGCATTTAAGTGCATTTCCTTCTAATTTCATCTCCTTCGATTTTCATCCAGTTGATTTGCAAGTGGTCGGGAAATTGCATGCGCATAAGGTTTATCAGATATGCAGTAAATTGACCATCATTAGTGTTGCCCCAAGATATACGCTCATTGTTAGATGGCGATAGTGAGTTGCAGGTGTGTCAGGTCAGCATTTTCAATGGTCCATCTACTAATTCTGATATAGTAATACATTTTAATAACGATTCAGTCTTGACAGGTGGACTTCGAAGTGGGACATATGCGTACCACGTAATGTATTTCTCCAGGACATAGTGGTACATAATTCAGGTTGCCTAAAATCTACCATATCCGAGAACATAAAAGGCCAAAAAGGCCGATAACTCAATATATGCTAGTTTATTTGTAAGTTCCGCGATAAAAATTCCATTTATTTTCTTTTAGCAGTATTTAAAATTTAATTATGAAGAACCCCTATCATAGATTTTAGCCAGCCAATGCAATTGAGAAAAACTAGATCACGGAATTTGTCCGGAAAAATTACCCTGTTTGACAACCCTGTTTAAAAACAGTACAAAAAATGAAATAATAATACAAGATGAAGCAATCGTAGTCAACGCGTTAATAAGATATAGCAAAACACAAATCCTCGTAAAAGTCACATCATACAGCGAGACTAAACTAAATATTGTTATATATGCATATTCTAGCAATTATATTTCAAGATAGAGTATCCCCTGTAGTTACCGCTAAAAAATCAGTCATGATGTCTGACATATTTTGTCGCAGCTGCACAAAGACTTGAACCCCTGCAGCGGAGACTGCCAGGCTTCAGTTTAAGACAAGTTGACCGTCCACGAACATGAAGACAAAAGCGAGATTTGTTACCATAAAGCGGACCGACAGGCTTGCGTCAACCCATTACAAAATTAAATGAATTCTTTGGCCCTCAAGCCCGATCGCTGTTGTTTCAGCACGAGGGTCTGAGCTCAAGTTCAGTGACCAGGTAAGTTTCTGATGGTAAATTGAAATTATTAATTGCGTAGCCAATAATAAAACAAATTTATGAATTTTCAATGCAAGCATGTTAAGAGAACTAATTAAATTTTATAAAAATTATCACCAAAAATTTTAATAAAATCCATCTCTAGCAGTGTTTTCCGAAGGATTCCCTTCATTGATTTCCCCATCTCGTATTTTTATTTTTAAAATCTACCCATCGATTGTTGATTGTCGAGACATGCAAATAATGAAGGAAATATAGTTTAAGTTTTTAAATTATTCAAGCTGGGACGCTTGGGAAAATCCCCACACCTTGCACTTAAATACAATGACCGGAGTAAAAGGGTGCGGTGCCGGAAAGGTGAGTGTGTGGCCGGCAACGGGCCAATGCGGCCACGGAAAGGTGCACATGAGTGTGGTGCCAGTAGCGGGCCAGTGTGCCCCGGAAAGGTGAATGTGGTGCCAGCAGCGGGCCAGCGTGGCCCCGGAAAGATGAGTGTGTGGCCGGCAACGGGTCAGTGTGGCCCCGGAAAGGTGAGTGTGGTGCCAGCAGCGGGCCAGTGTGGCCCCGGAAAGATGAGTGTGGTGCCAGCAGCGGGCCAGTGTGGCCCCGGAATGGTGAGTTCTCGCAGATGTGATGCGGTTTACATATGCTGCCATTCCACTTTTGCATGAGCTGCTATGCATTTTGGGCTCTTGCACATAGACTTTGATAAAAATAAATAATGCTTGGTGGCATGCGATGTATTGAATATCATGCATTCATCTGCAAATTTAAGGTAATCAATGGCATTCTTTTTATTGATAAAACTGACTAATTTCACAAGTCTGGACGAGTGTAGGCAGCGGCAGGGCGTCTGGACGAGTGCAGGCAGCAGTAGGGCGTCTGGACGAGTGCAGGCAGCAGTAGGGCGTCTGGGCGAGTGCAGGCAGCAGTAGGGCGTCTGGGCGAGTGCAGGCAGCGGCAGAGCGTCTGGGCGAGTGCAGGCAGCAGCAGGACGTCTGGGCGAGTGCAGGCAGCGGCAGAGCGTCTGGGCGAGTGCAGGCAGCAGCAGCGTATCGACCGAGTTGCCGGGCGGCGTCTGGCTCCGGCATTGGGCAGCTGTTGTCGTAATGCGGACATGGCACTGCTCTATCATATGCTCTTCCCTTCAATACTTTTTCTGGATTTGCCGATTTTCAGGCGCATAAAAAGCCTACATCTAATTCGAGTGATGTGATCAACCATCGAGGAAACACATTATTTGCAACTTGATTGTTACAGAAAGTATATATAGATTATCCCTCATAAATCCACCCTTATCTAATACAACATTTTTTAATAGTATATTATTCCGAGAAAAATTTTTCCATCCACTAACGCGTTTTTCTCTGCAGGTATCACCTGCTTAGATATTACAGCGTCTCAAAAATGCAGCGACCGGCGAGCTTGATCTGGAAATACTGTGAACGTGTTGCATTTGCTTGAAC